TTTATATTTATAACGGTTCATGAGCTCTGAAGCACTACAAGGTTGTTTTAACAATAACCCTGGGATGTGAAGTTTCAAAGTTGTAAACGGTTTAATAAATGAAAATAAAGCTGCCATGATTAAGGAAAAATGTGTAGGTATTTAAGTGGTTGTGTAAATGCTTAATGAATCCTGGCCCTTTATTTTCACACACACTCATATCTAAAAAGCAACCTAGTAATTATTTCCATAATTTCAGAAGCTTAGGGTTGGTGATAATTGACAATGACTGCTTCCAGTAGCATTGTTATTGGTGCTCATTCATCATGTCTTCATCTTGTGACTGAAGAGAAATGTAGAAATTACTATTGTTCTTTCCATGCAAGAGACTGAATTTTAGTGATCTTAAAGCTTAGTTATAATGTGCTCATGTTTATCTTTCTATGGTGTAAAGACTGATGTTACAATATTTAGTCTCTAGTTGGGATATTCATCTTTTCATATTAATGACTCATTGATTCAGCATCTAGTAAAATTACAATGTGAACCATTTTATTTTAAATGTAATAACATTTAAATGTATCAATACTTGTAATTTTAGTAACAGTGTGCTAGTAAAAACAAAGTAAATTTTCTTAATTTTAAATGTTATGTTGATGTAAATGGCATAATTATGAATAGTACCAAGTAGATTAAATCTGGCAAAACTCCACTTTCAAATAACAATTTGGTACAGTGAAATTACCATATATATTATTTTTTTCCATGAACTCATTAAATAAGAAAACATGGCTCCTTATCCATAAATAATAAAGATTATACGGTTTTTATATTTATATTCACTTAAAGTCCAATAAGTTGGTGTGGTCCAAGTGAAATGAGTGGTAATCATGAAGAGCCAGAGCATTGATCTACTGATGGAGATTGTTACATGTTGGGTAACGAATGTGGTTCTAGTTTAAGGAAATAATTTGCTTATATATTTTATCTATAGATAAAAATTTACACAATAACTTTAAAATATTTTTCATTTCCAAGATTATGAGAATGAGATATATACATATGAGATCTCTAGAAATATATAGAGATCTAGATATCTCTCAATATGTAGATAGCTCTAGATAAAATTCTAGAAATATAGAAATCTATATATATTTCTAGAAATATAGATATATCTAGATATATAGAGATCTAGATCTCTCGATATCCAGAGAAATCTAGAAATATATCTAGATTGAGATTTATCTAGATTTAAATGTTTCTAGAAATCTAGATTTTTCTAGAATTTTCCTAGAAATCTAGATTTTTCTAGAAATCTAGATTTTTCTAGACATCTAGATTTTTTAGAATTTTTCTAGAATTTTTCTAGAAATCTAGATTTTCTAGAAATTTAGATTTTTCTAGAAATTGATTTAAAAATCTAAATTTCTAGAAAAATCTAAATTTCTAAAAAAAATTCTAGAAAAATCTAAATTTCTAAAAAAAATTATAGAAAATCTAAATGTCTAGAAAAATCTAAATTTCTAGAAAAATTCTAGAAAAATCTAAATTTCTAGAAAAATTCTAGAAAAATCTAAATTTCTAGAAAAATCTAAATTTCTAGAAAAATTCTAGAAAAATCTAAATTTCTTGAAAAATTGTAGAAAAATCTAAATTTCTAAAAAAATTGTAGAAAAATCTAAATTTCTAGAAAAAATCTAGAAAAATCTAAATTTCTAGAAAAAAATCTAAATTTCTAGAAAAATCTAAATTTCTAGAAAAAATCTAGAAAAATCTAAATTTATAGAAATTTATTTTTCTAGAATTTTTCTAATTTATATTTTTCTAGAAATTTAGATTTTTCTAGAAATTTAGATTTTTCTAGAAATTTAGATTTTCTAGAAATTTTCTAGAAATTTAGATTTTTCTAGAATTTTAGATTTTTCTAGAAATTTAGATTTTCTAGAATTTTTCTAGAAATTTAGATTTTTTCTAGAAATTCAGATTTTCTAGAATTTGATTCTAGATTTTTTCTAGAAATTTAGATTTTTCTAGAATTTTTATAGAAATTAAGATTTTTCTAGAAATCTAGATTTTTCTAGAAATTTAGATTTTCTAGAAATTTAGATTTTCTAGAAATTTAGATTTTTCTAGATTTTTTTCTAGAAATTTAGATTTTTCTAGAAATTTAGATTTTTCTAGAAATTTGTCTAGATTTCTAGAAAAATCTCAAACTAGAAATCTAGATAGATTTATCAAGAAATCTAGATTGAGATTTATCTAGATTTCTAGAAATATCTAGAACTCGAGATATCTAGAAATCAAGATAGGTATCTAGAAATTTCTAGATCTCGAAATATCTAGAGCTAGGTATCTCGATATATCTAGGTATCTAGATAAATCTTTAGATCTAGATATTAAGAGATCTTTTTAAATCTCTAGATCTAGAGATTTAAATAGATATCTAGAGATCTCATATCTATAGATATTAAACTGTAAATTCTTAAATGGGCAGACTTCTTGGGTCGTAAGCCCAAAGAGTTAAAAAGAGCTGAATGTACACAGTATAATATTTGACACTAATGCCAAGATTTAATTTCTGCTATTAGTTCTATCTGGATCACAAAATTAAAATTATTTTTCAGTTGATTTAGAGCCTAAAGATCTGAATGGATAATTTGAGATAATGTACTGTACATATGACCAAATATGTATAATTTTATATCAGTAAACTAAATGTTTGATTAATCTGTTTTATTAACCTAATATAGTAATTGTCTTGTGTGAATTGTTGCAAACACACACAATTTGCTACAATTACTTGTTACAAACGGTAAACAAAAATAATTTTTTATAAATAAAAAGCAAATTAGGTTTGAAAATATGAACTTGCTTCAAGTATTTTTTTTTTATTTTAATATGTACAATGTTCAGATTCACAAAAAGTGACAAGCTTAATTGTGCCATCAATATGCAATTCAAGATGCTGACACCCTCTGGTATAGCACAGGACCAGCTAGGAAGACCTAAATTATTTGGCAAGAACAAAAAAAAAAAAAAAAAAAAAATTCGAATGTAACGAAACGCCAATTTCCAAGAACCCCCATGGTTCCCTGAAGCAACTATCTCTGATAGTGTGCCATACTACTAGGTCCCATCAGTTGAGAGTTCAGAGGCAGCCCAGAGTCAGTTGGCTGCTCCACCCTCAGTTGTATGAAGATGGAAACATCCCTGACACCATGGGGGGTAAGGAATGTGTCAGTGAGCCACTGGGGCTTGCCCAGAAATTGATGCTTCAATACATTCAACGTTTTTTTGGGGGGACAGGAAGCCCCCTTGGGGCTCCCTGAAGCCAACTACCCATGGAGAAGGAAACAACTGAGCACACATCACGGAGGTAGCACTGCAGGTATTAAAATACACACACTGCTGTGACACACAACCCAAGGGCACCTGGGCCCAAGCACACCGACAAGAAACAAAGCCTGCAAAAATTTTCTTCAACCCTTTAGGGAGCCGAGCGGACAGCACGCTGGACTTGTGATCCTGTGGTCCCGGGTTCGATCCCGGGCGCCGGCGAGAAACAATGGGCAGAGTTTCTTTCACCCTATGCCCCTGTTACCTAGCAGTAAAAATAGGTACCTGGGTGTTAGTCAGCTGTCACGGGCTGCTTCCTGGGGGTGGAGGCCTGGTCGAGGACCGGGCCGCGGGGACACTAAAGCCCCGAAATCATCTCAAGATAACCTCAAGATGATGATAACCCCCAAAAGCCCTCATGCCTATCAAGGCAGAACCGGGTCACAGAGGAAAGGTGGTTGTGTGGACAGAGCAGAGGCAAGGTCGAGTTAACCCAACACCGGGTCAGTTCCGAGCCATCCAACCGAGCTCAATCTAGACCGCTACAACACAGTACCGAAAATGCAAAGTGGTCGCTGCCTGAAAAGCCCCAACTTCATTAGGGGTGCCAGCAAGGAGCGCAGCATACTGGGAGCAAACTCCACATAATTCGGGATCAAAGGTGTCACCTACCAAATGGGCAGCATAGCCGAGGCAACTGGTATGGATGTGACAACCCTCAAATTTGCACAAAGCTACAGCAGGTTTAGGGATGGGGAAGGGGTTATTCACAGGAAAATCAAACAGGAAATTTCCAGGGCCTGCAGGGGCGGTAGTTACCCTACAGGAAGCCTAGGCACTGAGACGCCACACCGGACCTACTGTACGTATCGTATAGGTTATCTTAGGATAGTACCGTACAGAGAAACTAATAAGTCAACACAGCCAGGTTCCTGCTGCTGTGAAGGCTGATCTCGGTGCACTGAATGTAGCTTACAAATCCCCAGTGCACCCTGCCAGCCAGCATTCCCTACCGAGGAAAAATGGAAAAGCCCAAAAAGATAACTTACCCAGGGTGAGGGCCACCACAAGCAAGGAGGCCCTCCAAGAGTGATCCCCCAAACACTCCAGGGAAGACTACCCTGAGCACATGCAGCGCCAAGCACTTTTTTTTTTTAAACTTTTGACTCGTGCAAGAGGAGTTGAGGAACAGCCTGAAATGTGCAGTCAGTGACAGAGTGGCAACCACAGCACAAGACTTCCATCAAAATAGAACCAAGGGTGGAGCATGCAGCTGACCCCAGGCTGCCTCCCTCCTCCCAACAAATGAGGGGAAGATGGGGTGAATGAGCATGTACTGTGCTAGTTTCACAAAGTTTCGATAATTTGTTTGCATTGTTGGGGAAGTTATTTTGACCGTTTTCAGAGCTGCGGTCTCGTTTCAAGCCAGCAGTTGACTTTCTGGGTTCCTTCCTATGTGGTGCCAGACATGAATAACTTTCTAAAAATTTGATTACAAGTGCCACTGCTCTCGGCACCTCATGTGAGAAGGGCAGGTTCTGGTTCATGGTCCCTGGTAGGCCAACAGAACTCTGCAACTGATGGGACCCAATAATTGTCAACAAAAGGCACCAAGCCAGGGAGGTTATGCAACACCGTCAAATGTGCAGGATATTCAAAAGGCACTAAATGTCACTGAAGATGCCAATACGAGAACAAAAGTGCACAAGGCAAACATCAAAACGTATCCGATTCACCATGAATTCTATCGAGGGACAAGTGACTGCGAGGGACGGTCGGAAAGCAAGACGCACGCAAGTCCTGGAAGTCTGGACATTCAACAAGGATATGCACAACTGTAAGAGGGACAATGCAGTTTAGACAATAAGGAGCAGGATGGCACTCCATTAAGTCGACCTAGTAATATAGCACACTATCAGATGTAGCATCAGGGGCTTCCCCCTCCCCCTCAGAAAGTACATCTTACCTGGGAAAATCTGTAATAATAAAATGTGCAAAAAGTTTATATGTGGTCCCTTACTTCCACTGGACAGACACACTGCTGCATCTACTTCGTACTTACCACACGTAAACACATTCTGGCTCTTTAGTTTTCTTTGCCATGGTCTTGTTATTAGTAAGCATCTAGCAGCTCTAGTGCTTGGCCTAAAATGTACAATCCATGATTAATTTCTCGTATTTATTGTTTTCATTAAACAATTTCTTCCCAATATTGGCGCACAAAATAAAATAGGCTTCATACAAGAAACACACATACAATGTACTGTATAAGTCATAACTAATTGCCAGAACTGCACTGCTAGGCATTGAGCCCCCAAAATCATCACAAAGTCGCAAGATACCTAGTAAGCATGGATTATTCTGCCTAATAATAATTTTTGCTTTCAAATATCTTTATAAAATTGTCAGTCATTATTGGTTACATTAATTTAGGTTTAAACTAGGTGTAAGGAAACACACACCCCTAGTTTCACAAGCCAGCATATAGGAATAAAAGGTATTCAGATTTGATCAAGATTTGTTTTGGTTCAAAAAAAAAAAAAAAAAAAATCATTAAATTTAACATAATGTATCTATTGATTCAAGTTAAAAACTTTGTGAAAATGTACAATACTAAAATTTGACTTTTTAGGCAACTCATGCTATTAGGTATGACAAATATACATATAATTATACAATAGTGTACTGTATATGCAGTATACATATAATATACATAAATATTATATATACACAGTATATAAATTGTTAATGTATTACAAAAACATTCTTTGGTTTAAGTAAAAACTGAGTGCAGTTGGATTACATTACAAATAATAGCTGATAAAATATTGATTACATTTCTTTTCCCTCATGCTTGAACAAAGTTCATGTACAAAGCCCCTGCAATCCCAGTCAAATGTTTCAGGATGCTGCGTCTACAAGAGGTATGATAATGTGCACCTTCGTACTTAATGCATCCAAAGTGTTTTACCTTAAATTTTTATAATATAATGGCCTATACTGTAGTAGCACTGAAATATCTTGGTAAGGAGTCCCTATTTTCACATCAAGAACTTGTGCATGTGGAAAACAGCCTTAACCTTCCAAGGTTCAGAAAAATGGCTGTCAAGTCGAGGAAAACATAGCAAGAGAAAAACTGCAAGCTTTGAAAACTGCCTACTTGTACTCTCTGTGGAAGACTGGCTACTGATGCACGACATTTTTAGTTTGGCCAAAATATAATTAGCAATTTACATAATTGTGATATCCACAATGGAGATGCAATATTGCATAAACATAGAAGGCAAACCAAGGAAATTTATATTGTAATTACATTGATCACATAGATTTATGCACGTTATAAGTTACAGAATTAAACTATTGACAAGTACACTTAGCCTTGAAAAATGCATCTTCGTGATAGCTTTGTTCCACTTGAAAGTGAATATAGGTTCACATTTTCTAGCAGATTTATTCATACATGAAAACAAGTCACCGATATCCTGCTCCTTCTAGTACCAGTTAACCAACCATACTCATTTAACTTATGCATAATAATTTATCATTTAAATTTGTGTTGACAAAAGTAAGTGTGCAATAATATTTTTATAAAAATTTAGGTTAATCAGGTCCCAGAAAATCAGAATACAGTAGTGTGCATGTCTAAGCTACTTGAGCTAATGATCAATATTTAACATTTACTCTGAAATCATATTCACCTAAGAAACATTCAAATGTTACTCTGCTTCAAATGTTTCGAAAATCAGGATTGATAATCTCCTTGGAAGGATATCAGGCTCCACAAGTTTCCTACTGACCTGATCATGGGACAAACTACAATTCCTTGGTTTCATGCACATAAAATGAGAGGGTGGACTACTGTCAACATAACACAAGCACACACAATGTCGTCTGCTGTTAAGGTTTAGAGTAAGTCAACACTTCAACTTCCATTACCTCAACAGCATACACAAATACTACAATTACCTTTGCTTAATATTTGTTTAATAATTGTTGCATTTGTGTACACTATATATCAGAGAGCACAATTTATCGAGCTTATGTACTAATTGATATAATATAAATGATATCCAGCTGCAAAAATTATATATGGAAAGATAAAATAAATATATTTATAAATCTACATGTAATATACACGATCATACTATCCGTAATTCACATATCTCAACTACAATCTAGAACACGCATATCAGCAGATATGCATTGTTTTCTTAAGGTATAATTAATGGACAGATGCAGGCAATGACATACAATTATTTCCTTTATAGTACTCTTAACTTGAAAAGATATCTGCTTAGTAATCCTTAATATTTTGCAATTAATATCATTTAAGCATTAAAATGTTAAACATGTGAAAATATTGATAATTCATACCCTGAATATTTATGTTAGCCAATACTTTTATAATCTCAAGTCCTTATGATATACCATAGTTCTTGCGCCAAATGATAAATTAAGAACTTATAAAACTGCATGCAAATAAAATCTATAAATAAAAATTCTATATAATGAACTACAATTTTTTAATTAGAATACATAAGCAGTAGTAGTTTTTGTATAATTTACCATCAAACAGTTTGGTGGTTACTGAACATTGTTATGGTGGGTGGTGCTGACAAGTCATACCAATATATGCTTTAAGGATTGTATTCTTGGTGATGGCTATTTCTTGTAATATTTACTACTGTACTGTATCTCATAAAATGCACCTTTTGTATATGCTTTAATAACATATTCTGAATTCCACAACCTTATGGACATGATGACCATGTAAATTCTTTTCCAGACATTTTAACTACTCTACCTCTTAAGACACTTACACATTTGAGACACATGATCACAAATTCCAGCATTTTTTCTTATAAAGTATGATTGTTTCTCTGTGAATGATGCAGTGTAAGGCAGGACAGCGATTCTTTTTCCAATGTTTTCTTCAGTTTGTGAAGAATGACTCTTAACCGATTATTAAATTTTCCTCAATTGTCTAAATCTTGAAAATAGCATTATAATATACTAATTTAAGTTTCTATACCAAGTTGTTATGGCTGCTTAATATTTTGCTAGGTTACTAATGTGCATTAATTTTGATGGAACTTGCCAATTTAAGGATGTGATAAAATGATCTAATTCTGTCAGAGCTACAGTTTCGCTATAATAGTAGCCAGTTTTCATTACCATTCCACATGAAGTTGTGTTCAATTGGTTTATATGAAAAACAACTTTGATGCCCTTTTATGCTATGGGGACAAAAGTACAATATACTTGCGATGAAGCCCAGTGGCATGCCAATGTATACATTAATATTTCTTTTAGTGATGGGACGATTAATTGGAATTGGTATAGAGAATCTGAAAAATCTAGCATTTTTCAGTAAAAGGAATCGGTATTGGAATCTTAGATAAATTTATCCTGATTTCAGATTCTTAACACTTAGAGAGTGGTTATTGTCATATGATGAAAACAAATGCTGTCTGGGTTTTACATGCATGATTAAAATAAGGACATAATTGCTCTATATGGATCTAATGGCGTTTACTTTGACCCACTGAAAAATCGTCTATGGTTTTATGGTTACGTTACTACGTGAGTGCGGTTATAGTCATATATGTTTACTAGAAAAATGCTGTCATCATCATCATCATTATATAAAATTCTGTCATAATTACATGACATGTATACCAATGATGTTCATATGGTCTTCACAACTCCATATGGTTGTAATGAGGTATACCAAGTAAACCAATCATCAACTGAACCCAATCATCGAAGACCCACACGGTGGGGTCAGGATGCCATGTGGGGTATACAGAGAATGGGAAGAAGTTGACACTCCTTTTAAAACAAGTCCCATAGTATTCAGACAATACATTTTTTAAATTTTATGAATTATTTATGCTGTTTGCATCATGCCACATACTCCTTAATTTGGTTTCATGATGGAATGTGTGTGATCAGTCAGCGAAAGTGTTAATAAAATTAATTTTGGTGGTTTAATATATTCACCCAAAAGAAACAATGTAAGAAGAAAGAGTAGACACTAATGTTTTTACATTACAATTTAAAAGTCTTGGGTTTCAGATATGAATGACTTTCTTATTCACTTATACTTGCATTATATAGGCTAAAATTTACTTTATCAGTATAAACCAAAAATGAACTATGTTTTAATTTAACTACTACTGCAATGTAATTTGATTTGAAAAAAGGATTAAAAATTTTATTGTATTGTAAACTGTGTATAACATGTATACCTGTGATGGGTAATGAAATGCTTACAGAGTTTCTTCCAGAAGATTAAGCAGGATTTACCAATGGCTTTCTAATCTTAAATCATTTTAATATATTAATACATTTACCATGCTCACTGTAAATCGTTAATTTTCCAAACTAAAATATGAAAATTTTTAGAAAAGTAAGTACAGTATCCACTATATTCTTAAAAAGAATTGGAATCGATACTTTTTTTGTTGGATCGGCATCGGAATCTTTAGAAATTTTACTATCGTCCCATCACTAATTTTCTTAAAACCCCAAAAAAGCTATAATGAGCAGTGTATTGACAAACATCCCACAGATTTATTTACAAAATTGAAACCTGGCGTGCCCAAGAAAAAACTTTAAAATGTATTTATTGCTCCTTGGCAAATGCCGAAGATAAATACTATATAATATTATATTGTTGACTTCTCTGAAATGTTTCTATGCTGTGTGTAAACACGGGTAAGAACAAGACTTGTGACACAGTTGAAGGAATGACTGATCAAATACGGGAATTGGTTAAAAATCAGGAAATAAAATTATGTAAAAATTATGATACAAAAAATGGGAATAAAGTAATCTGTACTAGCATTAATGGAGTTTGGGAAGCCATATGCATCTTAACCAATTAAAAATATATTTTTGATATTAACCAATCATACAACCACACAAGGCTAACAAATTGGTTTAATAATGACAATTTTGCTATAAATCTGCTAAATAGATTGTCATGATCTGTTTCCAAATGCTGTCAGGTCATATACTGGTTCTTTTAACAAACTTAATGCTTGCTTACACTTTTTGCTTTTTAACTATTATGGAACACACTCAAGCTGGACGAAAAGTTCTGTACATACTGTACTGTATACCAAACAAGCCTCGGTACCAAGTACCGATGGAAACTAGCAGAATCTTGCCTCTGCTTAGGACTTTCCTTAATATTTACAAAGCCAGCCTGATGTTATAACATTTGCACTCTTAACTTGCAGAGTACACCAAAACTGATATTTTTTGTGCTTTTGAAGTTTAATATTTTGGAAAATTTATTTTAAAACACACACACAACGTATGTCTATATTAGCGCAATATTTTCCATAAATTTGTCATTGCTAGATTATAGTCATTTGAACATACCAAGTTTTGATATAGTGACTGCAGCCCAGAATTTGATTACTGAGGTTATCAAAGTGGGTCAAAGAAAGGACCATTTATAGGGTTTCTTGCATACATAGTGATAATTTGTTCTGCTACATTATATTAGTTGTCAAGTGTAATACAACAGCTACAATATCAAATGATTTACGAAAAGCAAATATAAACATATGTAAAATTCTCAAGACTTGAGTTGGATGTACATGTAGTGTTTGTATCCAAGACAGACTTAATTAGTTCAAGGTGATGCCATCACTCCACTTAAACTACATGCAAGTAGTAGTAGTATTGTCTGTTGTTCCCGTGTCCTGTCAATGGAACGAGCCGTGAAGGATACAGAGAAGAACATCCAGCATACATCTTCACAAGCATTATGGAATGTCTACAGTACTGCTTCATCTACATAATGATTATCAGTGTAGCTCTACATTACCATCAGTACCCCCAATGCCAATTAAAATTTGGAGCTAGCCATGGTTCAACCATTAATTGCTTTCACCAATTACAAACAAGAACTCACCTCCTAGAGCAAAGTTGCCTTATGCTAAGGACCTACTGAGGGGATGATATCACAGCACAAATTACACAGCAAATAAGCTGCATTAATATACAGTTTATTTTATGCAAGCATTAAACAAGTGACTAAAGGGCTACCATTAAAGGATAAAAAAAAACAAAAACCGAGTTCATAAGGCTATGGGTTCTCTATAAGGGTCAGATTGGGGAATATCCTCCCACCCCCAAAAAAAATTCTTACAAAAGATGCATTAAGACTTTAATCTAGGTAATATCCTTGAAAAGCTTGCAACAAGTCCTTGTGCACCTTACTTAACTTGTGAATGTTACACGTGATAAAGGTTATAAAATAAGTAGGTAATTATTATTAATAACAAAATATATTTTAACTTCCTTTTCATGTGAAATCATCCCCATTCCAATAATATAATCTCAGAGTGCTACCCCACTTGCTGTCCTCTATAAAGTACAGTACTTGCCACCCCTCTCATGACCAATGGAAATACTCACTGATAAAATGCCTCTACACAGCATCATGGTAAGAGTATTTGTCAAAGCTTACTTCAATAGCAGTGCTGTCCATATCACTTCTTAACAATATTCTTTAATCTCAGGGAATTAGATTTGCTTCTTGGAGGTGGAGTTGACACAGGTGTACCCTTAGCACTTCCCTTACTCTCACCTCCTCCACGAAGACTCATTTCTTTTGCACCTCTGAAAGAAAGAAATGTCATAAAAGATTTAAACAAAACAAAATTCAGCTTTAAAATGAATGTATATAATATTTAAAATTGAGGAATTTGACAATCAGGTCTTCACTATAAAATATGTAAATAAATCTAATAGAGAAAGACCCACAAAAAATATGTATATAGGGTCAAGCACTTTTACTTTCTTTTAGACACTGTACAGGACCTTGTCGACACACTGTACGGGCCCTTGTCCAACAAACTGTATGGGACCTTGTCCGACACTGTACAGGACCTCGTCCGACACGCTGTACAGAACTTTGTCCAACAAAGAAATGCGGAAATGGAGAATAAAATCACATGTTAATAGCAATAGGGGTGACTAATACCTACCGACATTCTGTCTTTCACAGCTGCTCCACTGAATATCTCCACATCAATCTACAAATAACAGCAAATACGCATCAGATAAACAAAGTTGGTGTTGGTGACTGGGAGTTCTGGTTATGTCATCTGCTGGTCAGATGGCCAGCAAGATCACCATTAACAAGGCTTAAATAAATAGCAGCAAATTTACACCATACAGTGCAGGCGATGAGTCACAATAACATGGTTAAAGTATGTTGACCAGACCACACACTAGAAGGTGAAGGGAAGACGACGTTTCGGTACGTCCTGGACCATTCTCAAGTCAATTGTCACCATTCTCAATCGAATGTGAGAATGGTCCAGGACGGACCGAAACGTCGTCGTCCCTTCACCTTCTAGTGTGTGGTCTGGTCATCAATACACCATACAGTACTTAACAAGCCAGTGTTTGTCACATTGAACAGACGACACGTAAACCTATCCATGTAAGGAATAGAATGCTTATAAACACAAGAATTGTTGAAGTAAACCCAAGAAAGTTAAGAGCGTTCGAGTGAAGATATGCCCAAAGCTGCCACACAGTCGACCTAACCTAGTCCAGATGATGGCACACCATCTTCCTTTCAATCATTCAAAATTTCAGTTGTCCTGCCATTTTAGATAACAATTGTTTTGGGTAATAGAAATGGCACTGTAGAGTTATATCCAAATTAAATGAAATAGTCCCATGTTAAACACAACTTAATCGGTAATATCAGATCTTACTGCACAGGGGTTCCAAAGACATGAGCCGCCAAACACTAATAACTGATACAGTGTTCAACACTCCTGGGATGCTAGTTCTGGACACCCAAGAAGCCAAACAACCAGGAGCCACATGTGTTATTGTAGGAGCATTGCCTAATAATATCAACATAAAGGGAAATTTAATAAGCACCATAAAATGCATGGTTATACAGTCCCTTAAAATAGGTGATATGTCTTGCCATTCAGACAGTGTCATCAGTGAGGCATTAGTGTCTTCATTCAGAAGACACACTTTTAGTTAATATCTCTGTGGTATTATATGTAAAGTGTCCATTCTGGTGTCATTTTATAGAACATCTTTTTATTAAGTAACTTGCAGTATGGAAAGAAACTTAATATAACAACTTTTTAGCTCATCATGATCAGAAATAACTTTAGTGTCCAATAACCACTGAATTTACCCTAGGCTCAGCCATACCAATCTTATTAATTAAGCACACTACACCAAGAAATTGGGTTCAGTAGAAATCGCATACAAAGGGCAGAAAGTACTATGCACCGAGAACTATGATCTGTTCGACACACTGACATGCAAGGACAGCTGTCAACCAGCATGATACAGTACTGACCCTCAGCACTTCATTTGTAAACTAGAAAATTTGTAGAAAGAGAAAAAATTTGTAGAAAAAGAGGACAGACTAACATTATGATCCTACAGGGATCACCTTACAACTGCCATATAGAGCCAATGCAAGAATTTTGTTCTACCCAACTGCATGATCCAGTCCTATGGACACAGCGGATCTTACCTTAGGGAGCAGCAGAATGTGATAGCTAAGAAAATAGTTATCATTACGCTACACTGCCCAGGAACAAAAGTAAGCTCTGTTTAATGATCATAATGTGTTGTAGCTTTCAAATTGATATGATGAGGTTTTCTCAAGATATCGTACGAGTCTGAAAAAACAAAAATTGCCACTGGGCTACATTGCTCAATTTCAACAGCAGCCATACATTTTAACGGAAACTTACGTATTTCAAGTCGACACAAGACACACTCAAAATATTAAATTGGGAACAAATAAATGACAAACCATAAGGTATTCCTACTTGTGAATACATAATTTCAACTTACATATGCTTAGTTAAGTCTTCAATATCCACTAACATGGAATCCTGCTCCATGTGAAGGTCATCTCTCTCCATTAAGAAGGTTACTAAATCTTCATTTAAACCTGAAGTAAAACAAGTAGACTTAGTATGCACATACAAGAGACATGTGCACTGGGGTCCAGTGCTCCGGGGGCCCGTGCACCGGGGGCCTGTGCATCGGGGGCCCGTGCACCAAGGGCCTGATAAAAATTTGCAATAAAGGCAAAAACAGGAATATTTAAATCAATGAATTGTATCCTGCTTCAATATTTGTACTGGTGATACACATTTGATAGTAATAATTCAGTTATGAAACTTAACATTCCAAATTATCAAATACTAGACTTGTCACCTTTCAAAACCAAACTTACTTTCAATTTGCGTATGAAGGTCATTTACAATAACTTGGAGCTGAGCAACATTCATGTCCGTTAGAATTTGTCGACTGATTCGTCTCTTACTGTCTGGGAATGGGACACCAATCTGCAAGAAATTTCAATAAGCTACATAACCTGATACTGTATTTTAATTTTCCAGAAAGGCAGTGGCCATTTATCTCTTCCTTTAATATATATTTAAACACAGGAATTTAGACAGTTGAGCAGACAAATGCAACAGGTATTATTGCAGACAAAAAGACTTGATGGATTACTTACTTTATTAAAGCTTGCCCTAACAATATCTGCAATAGGACTCTTCTTCTTGCTTTGTTTTTCAATCTCCATTTGCATCCTTGCCATCTCCTTGGCCTGAGCTAGGGCCATGCGAGCCTCGGCCTGCAGCTGTGCCTGGCGAGCAAAGAAGTCTACTTCTTTGTTCCGTATATCGGGCTCGGAATGAGATGTTCGCGTCCTCAAGGCAAGTGGTGTTGATGTCTGGAAGCGTGTTCAGAAATACAGTAATCACCCTAATATTTAACCACTTAACTACATGTTGTGGGATTTTCTTTAATTAGGCCATATTTTAATACAGTATTTTCATCACCCTTTGTGATTTGAAATGAAAATGGTTGAGTTTGAAAACATTGACATTAATTTAACATTAGCTGAACATTTATAAAACAAAAATATGTCTAACAACTGTACCATGAAATTTTTGCCAAAAGCAGGTGTGCAGTGCAGGGTTAAGAAGTCTTTATTATCAAACATAACATTTCTGACATGTGACTGACCACAGATGTTTACCCACTCACAACATGTGAAATTTCATGCCCTTAACACAGACCAGAGGTGACTCAGCGTATGTGATTTACATTGCTAGATAAACTAGTACAGTACCTCCATTATAATAGGGCATATTGACACATGCAAGGCACAGTCAACTACCCATAAAGATTACTACAAAACTATATGCTGCAGATTCTCAATTACAGATACCTGACACTGTACACTTCATGAAAGACAAGGCATGTTTTCATATTAACATCTGAAGATCCTGTGCCTTATTGAACAAATCCACAAGGGCCGTGACGAGGATTCGAACCTGCGTCCGGGAGCATCCCAGACACTGCCTTAATCGACTGAGCTACGACAGGGTTATAACGTGATGCATCATCATTTGATGCATCACGTTAGTGTGATCTCTGTGTGTTCTGTGCCTTATTGCCTTGTTTAAATTGGCACAGTTGGTAAATATCTTGCCATCTCTGTTTATACAGCAGAAGCATCATGGAAACAGCTCCTCTGCATGAAGCATTCATGATGGAAAAGCCTTCAGCACTAGGCCCTAGCCTTGTCTGCTTCTCTCATCCACCTACATATAGTTTGCCTTACCTTACTGTTTGCAGATGTGATGTGATCTGTGTCAACATCTCTATCTTGTGTGCTCTCGGTGTCTGAACACTGACTTTCACAGTCACTGGCTGTTTCATTCATGAAACATATTTGTAGATTCATCCCTGTACAAAACAAAATATTTGTAATGTAGCCAACTTTACAAGAATCTGCTTTAAAATTGAATAAAGCCTAAGAAGTTATGCCTCTCATAAAACACATGTTTTCATTCAAGATACTGTAGTTTGAAAAGCTTCAACATTTTTATTCAAATAGAGCCAGTTAAAAAATTACAAGTTTACAATATTCTTTTGAAACATTATTGTTTGTTCATAGGGAAGATATATATTTAAACTTTCAATATTCCTAATGTTGCTTTCCAAATGAGCTTTATGATAAAAACAGCCAAGTTTTCAGGCATCCATATCCAACAAGCTTTCTAGCTTCTTGTTATTATCCTGTCAAGACACCTCTTGAATACTGCTGTACTCTCATATTGAAATCTTGTACAGTATTCTATACAGGCTACATTCTTTAGAAAATACTTGAAAATTTGGTCCCTGACCTGCACACAAAAAAAAAAAAAATGAAGTATAAGTACAGAATTATAGCAGAATTAAGACTTAAAACTTAATTAATCAGGCTATTCAGTTTCAGCAACAATACAAGACATTTTCTTTATGATTGTAGTACACTATACTTGTACAACGTACCACTTTGAAGACGCGAGTGCAGCGAGGGCTTGCGATGGGGTCGTTCCATGACTTGGTCATCGTCAATACCCATAGCCAACTTGCGGCGAATCTCTTCCCGGTCATTGCGACGCTGCAAGGTAAAAATGGATCAAGACGGTAGAATCATAATAAATATTCATATTCATCAGCATGGTAATTTGTTTTCTATACAACACAACTGGAGATACAGGCAGTGAATGTCCCACTCAATCACATTAGCATAAGAAAATTGGATTAATATGGGCTTTAATATTTAGTTAAAGTTGTAACAAATGTAATGTACTGTATAATTAGTATTTTTTTATTATCTTCTTAAATGTTCAATGGAATATTCATATCGCTCTTTCCCAACCAAACAAGCAGGAAATTATTTTTCAGGCTAATGGCAGGAAATTACACACATTTTTACAACATGACTGTTTTCTTATATTAAATGGTTTACGAGCTTCTAAACTTCACAACACATGGTACAAAGGTACCACATGAAAGATTAGCAAGGAAATTGTAAGCACACAATATATGGTAGAATATTAGAATAGATAAAACAATGATTAAAAAAGAATGCAAAGGGTTGCCCAAAACAGTAATGAATCTGACTGGAGAAATGTGGAGTGGGGTACCGCATGGTTTCACTTTGGAGCCAACCATTTTTATCATATACATCAATTACATAGATGAGAATATTACAAACCACATCTTCAAATTTGCAGATGACATTCAGAATTTTGGTAAAGCAAGAAGTGAGTGGCAAATGCTTTTTAATACCAAAAAATGCAAGACCTTGCATGATACATACATACATTATATATATACTTGTGCATAATGCACATCACAACTACCAAATCAACATTAACCAGCAGTAGATTGATGTAGAAAAGAACCTTGGAGCATTCTCTATAGTGATTAAACTCCGGATTGCAATGCCGATCCTGACCTTGAGCGCTTCCTAGAAGGCTGTAATAGAACTCGTGGTCATCATACGAGAAACAAATATACAGTATTGTATAGCAAAGGTTTCAAGCTCAGCGAGCCACAATGCAAAACGGAAAACAGGAGATGCTTTTACACCCATAGTTATAAACCCGCGAAACCACCTACGTACGTACTGTACTCGCCAAAGAAGTAAATGCCAAAATGCTGCCGAATTTCAAAATCTATCTTGATGACAAAATCATCAGGACAAATGTGAGGGATCTTTGACAAGCTGCCAGCTTCCTTGTCAAGGCCACTAGAAATAGTGTCCCTCAGGTAAAGTTGGGTAAATTAAATTTCTCGGAGGTAAGCAATGAGATTTTTTTCATTCATACAGTACAGGCCTTTACTGCACTACACTTGCGATAATGAGCTACCAGGCAAATCTATCGAGATTAAATTTTTTTTATTCTATTTGTTATATTTTATTCTTATAAACTTAAAATATGAAATATAAAAAAAATAAACTTTCCATGCATCCAACAAATGCAAATATGTATACAAAATAAAATACATATAAAAATACATATTACTGTAACATCAAAATGTTTACCCTTGCTGGATGATTATAAAATGTGTCTTCTGGTCGCTCTTCAGAGTCTTCCGACGTAATTACACGAATAAATCTTTCCACGATATCTTCCTCATCGGTATTATTTCTCTTTACATATGGTAGCCATTGCCTCTTGTTGTTTATAAGAACTGGCCACTTGAGCTGCTCAAGCAGGGTTGGAGGTGGAGCTTTAGGGTCTGACACTGGCACAATATTTTTCCCAGGTGTTTCAGTACCATCATTCCACAATATCTTTGAAACACGGTCTGACTGAGTTTTAAGAGAGCTGAAAACCTGAGTTGACACTTTTGCAGTTTGCAATTTGATGGAGTTTAAGCTCATAGAAGAGAGACTTAAGCTGGGTGGAAGTGCCGATAAAGAGCGACATGGAATAGTTTCATCATCACAAGTCCTTCGAGATTTCATTAAATTGCCAAACATGTTGCCCAAGCTGAACTAATATCAAGCTAGTTTTCCTTGCTTAATTATACTGCACTGGAATAACTGGTCACAAATTCAAAGTACAGTATTAGTTAATAGGATAATTACTGCAGAATGGGGCTTTAAAATGCAAGGATACATTTAAAGAGAAACCACCGATTTACTCTTAATTCTCGATTTCATTTAATATGGCACCAAGAGTCATTTAAGAACAAAAGGTTGTTTTCATAATTATCTCGGCAGTCCATAATTGGCTCATTCTCACAATGGAATTATAAGCATACCAATGCTGTATGTCATACATGCTCTTTTGTTTTGAACGTCAATTTTATGTAATTTAACCTAAAACCAGCATCTGGATGGCAAGTTAAGATTACGGTAGGCCTATCTATTGTACAAGTACTAAGGTGACTTTAGTGAGCTAACTTGAGCAAGCCACTGGTATTGACTGCACAATGTTTTACATCTTTCAACAAATGTTGTGATTTAGGTTAGAAAAGATTAGGGGGTAGATTAACTTATATTGGGTGAGATTAGTGCATTAAGTTGCCACTTCAGGATGAAGCTTAAATACCAGTAATAAAGTTTGAAGTAAAAGTTGCCTCTTATAAACTAACAATATAAAATTTTATCACAAGATAAACTTGACATATGATTAGAGCAGTTCTCTACTGAGCTGCATTCAGATATTGTAATTAGTCAGTGATGCATTACAATATTATAATCATGTTTATTAAGAATCGACTTTTTAACAGAATTAGACGACATTTTGCATCACGATAAAACTCTCAGCTGGTGTCATAATGAACCATAGTAAAAGAAGTCCACTATACAACACGAGGCCATGTAAATGATTACCTACATACAAATGTCCAGTGAAATAATTGAAGAAAAATAAGATGATATTTAAGAAATGGCAAAGTGTTTACCACAGAATTTGTAGCATTGAAAAAAAATGTAATATTATCTATTTAGTAATTTAGGCATGATGACCAGACCACACACTAGAAGGTGAAGGGACGACGATGTTTTGGTCCGTCCTGGACCATTCTCAGTCGACAATCGACTTGAGAATGGTCCAGGACAGACCGAAACGTCGTCGTCCCTTCACCTTCTAGTGTGTGGTCTGGTCAAATTACTTTAGCCACGTTATTGTGACTCCTCGCCTGCATAGGCATGATGAGCTTACAGAAGGGAATTTCAGTGAAGACAAACTCATTACTACAAAGCATTTACCAGATTTAGCCAAGTACGTCTGGCTCGACACAAGCACCCTGGTGAGCACTGGTGTCAACTCCTGGACTTGGGTCATAACAACAGTACTGTTTGGTGTTGACAGTAATAGACTTTTTATATTTTGTGGTTAACACATACTGTACTTCTTCCCAAAATGTCATAAGTCTTCATGACAATGTTTACTGTAGTTGTCTCTGATGAAATTATGTTTTGTTTTATTACTACACCACATATTCTAGCACTAATTATGAATTTATGTGGCCTCTACATAAATGGAACCTCGTGTGTAATTAGGAAAACTAGTTAATGCCTTACAATTGACAATGTAAGCCTATCGTGTCAAAATAAACAGCTGACAACGAAACATCACCAGCTGTCACTGCCGTAGTCATATTACATTACTAAACACGACTGCTGTATAAATACAGTACGTCTATGAATTAGCTTCAGCTCACTATCTTAGACAATCTACTTTTGCTTCACGAGTGAACATTAGGCCCCTCACAAGACACCAGGTCCACGATAGTGTCCAGTGACCACACACACACACACACACACACACACCAAAATAACATTAGGTGTTTGAGGTGCAGTAGAGAAGAGTTAAGAGTGTGTGTGAGAGGCTGGTACTAGTGTGGTGGTGGTCCACCTGTTGACAACTTGACACTGGGCACCCCACTACCCTCCCACCTCTCACAACTTAACCATTTGCAACTCATTGTCTTAAATGTCCTTAATGCAGCCTCGATGGGTTGGATTACAATATAAAAAATCGAGAATAATTATTTGAGGGAATGAGATATGAAACAAATCAAAATATCAATCGAAATAAAATTTGAGTAGAGAAAATTAGAACCGATATTAAGCAGTTTTGCAATATATATTTTTATTCTATTTAAAACGTGCATTAAAGTATTAAAATGATACGTTATATATCAAAAAATACATAAGCAATCCTTTATACAAGACGTGGCACCACCGCCGCTAAGACATTCCATACGGATAAGTCACATCGCATTAAGATGATTCGCCGTCGGATTTTTAAACCTACCTAACCTAACTTAGCTCATCCCATCCTAACTAAACCAAATCAACTTAACCTAACCTAACCGAGCCCAATACAGTCTAACCTAAGCTAATACATCCTAGCAATATATATATATATATATATATATATATATACGGTTTTAACAAACAGAAAACGAGCTTAATTGAATAGTCTCTTGCCCTTTCAGACGTTAAAACAGACGCCACAGAGTCTAAGGAAAGCAGTAGTCCCATCACGGAGTCTGCTGACTTTCTTGAATGATCCACAGATGAGTTGCTCTTCTTGTATGATAGTATCATGATGGAACTACTAGTGTAGGTTTCACTTTGTATCAGACCTACGAGCTTTTGTGGCGAGTTATTCTTCTCAGACTGCTTATAGGCAATCCTAGGTTGCTATTGGCTAACTCATCAGCTCTATCATGCATTCGGCGGCCAACATGAGATGGAATCCACATGAAATTGACTCGTACCATCATTAATAGCCTTGTTGCGGAATTATGTCTGGGATTTTCATTACCTGCTGATGTAGATCTGGCCAAATGTTAACTAAAAATTATTCGCACACCCTCCGTCCCCATATAATAACAGTATATATGTGATAGAGTGCGAAAAGATACGTAAATTTAGATACAAAACTATAACGCTATAACAAATGGTTATTAAATGTGTAAATATTTCATTCAAAATGGTCTACCACCAAATTCTTCAAGGGAAATGAGGGGACCTCTGACAAGCCCCCGGCTTCCTGTCCTCGTCGAGGCCACTAATGGGGTTAGTGCCCCTTAGGTAAATTCAGGGAATTTTTAGGAAAATATCCCAAGTTCGCTAGCGCAGTGGTA